TCTCAGTTATGCATTTCTCCTGCTTCTGGGATATGTGCTCTATCACCAGTGGGACTCTTAATCTCAACTCTTTGCTTTTTTCTCCATTAATTTCTCAAAATACTCTTCCTCATTTCTCCTCTGTGGATTTCAGACAAAGCCGTCTTACTGATGTGTGTTCTGTTTGCTTCTCTACACAAGAGCAGCCTTCACCGTCCTCTTTATTTCTTGTATCTTGTACATTCCTGGCTTCTGCCTACCCTCTCCCGCAACTCCCAAGTGCTCTCACTGCCTCAACCTAAAATCTTCGGCCTTTATTTTGCCATTTCTTCCCAAAGGACGTTCACATCCTTCTTCAATCAGCCCATTATTTTTCTTTCTCTTTCATTTTTTTTTTTCCTGAAACTCCTCCAGCTGAGTATATTTTTCCTTTCATGATGCGAAAGACTCAGAGGCAATTTGTATTGATATCTCTATTCACACCATAAGGGTAACATTTATTTTTGAGGCTGTGTAGCTCAGCTCTTGTCACTAAGGTGGAAAAACAAAACAAAACAAACACTTCTGTCTCCACCCTGAAATCTCTTTAATGAGTCCCTGCTCAGAATGACAGGGTGGGGCAGTGGAAAGTACACAGACCTGACCCAGTTTTGGGTTTAACTGTCACAGCCATGTGATCCTTGAGCAAGGGACTTCACCTGCTTCAACCTCAGTTTTCCCATCAATAAAATGAAGTAGCGGTGCAGTATAGGGGCTTTGGAAATGGACCGATCAGTGTCCAATTACTGGCTCACCTTACTAGCTATGCTATAAGAGCAATTGTAGGTCACCCACTTCCTCTCGATGGCAATAGCTTCTTCATCCATGAAATAGTCAGGCAAATCTCAGCACTGAAGGGAGGATTCAGTAAGATTGTGTGTGTAAAATAACCCATGGCTTAGCCCTTCATAAGCAATCAGGACTGGAATTTATTATTATTGGGATACTATTAGCTTTCTTAGAAGTGGCATGGCCTCTTACATATGTCTGACTTTGCTCATGCTGCCCTCTCTACCCAGAGCGTCCTTTCACTTCCTTCTAAAGTCTCTTCCATGCCTCTTTTTTGGCATATTTTGCAAAGCCTTCTCCAATCACCCCATTTCGCTAAATAGAACCAGTCACTCCCCACTGTCTGTTCTCAGAGGACTCTGTCCATGTTCTGTTTCTAGGTCTAATCACCTGATTTTGTAGCTGTCAGTTTATTTACACGTGCACTTCCTATACTTCAATCTGAACTGTGAGCTTCTATAGAGCTAGACTATGCTTTTTCTCCTCAATCTCTCAGCACCAGACACAATGCCTAACAAATAGGGGGTGCTCAATATATATTTGCTACTAAATGGAAGAATCGATGAGGACAAATGGTAGGTGCTCACTGTCAGATTGTGATGAGTGAATGAATGAGGAAAAAACCCTGTTTCTATAATTAGGCCATATGGCAGGAGCATATGTTCAGGACGTCCAGGGAACCCCAGTGTGTAGGACCAGGTCAAAAATGGCTCACCAGCCAATTTTGTTTGTTTCTTCCTACTTGTTTCCTAGTACAAAGTAGATTGGGCTTTTTTTTTTTTTTTTTTTTTTTTTTTTTTTCTTTAACCTCTAGAGTTGAATGGCTCCACATTAAAAGATAAGAACAATACAGGGCAGGAAGACCAGCAAGTCCATAGAACAATCTGTTTATTTGGCTCCCTTAAGTAGAAATTCCCAGACAATCTGAAGTTTTGACACCTTATCATCTTTCATTTTATTTCCTCATATCTGCACTTATTTTCTCATACTTATTCTTACAAAAATGGCACAGGGAAACAATAAAATATAATGTTGTTTCTGTTTCAAGTGAACTAAAATTACAAATGCCTCTCTACTTCCCTTTTCTTCGCTGACATTTTTGTGGGCAAGACTAACATCTACCTTATTACAATGTATCAGGCTTTTACCTGTTTCTGGGAATGTAATTTAATTTATGAAACACAACAGTTCAACTATTCACTCGATCAGCATTTATTGAATGCAAAGTGTGTTCTAGGTACCATATGACATAACAAGAATAATAAAAAGTGATGACTTGAAAGACAGTCCTAAAAGAGCAGTCGGAGTATTGGAATTTCTGTGTGCACCACCACCCTGTATAAGCCCTGTAATTTGGGACATGTCATGTGGACCCCCTGAGTCTCAGTTTGTGCATCTCAGAAATGAGCATGAAAAAGTTGCCTTCTTTCTATCTCACAGGGCAATTTTAAAGCTCAAATGAAATAGTATACTCGAGAGCTTTGAAAACTGAAAAGTGTCATGGAATGGCACAGAATGACATTAAGAGTTTTGGGTTTTTATTTTTCACATTGGATATCGTGAGACTCATTTTGAGGAAATTGGTGTAAATCAAGCGTGAGACTAGAAAATGAAAGCTGGTAAAATGAGCCCTGAGATGATTCCTTGAGCTCCAACTCTGGTGCAAATTAATCAGTTTGTTTCTGCTGTCTGGGACTCACTTTCCTTATCTTATAAAATGAGACAGCCAGAGAAGATAAGCACGAAAGACCCTTCTAGCTCCGACAGCGTTCTTCTGTGGTTCTATGAAAATGACTTCTGCTGGCCTGAACTTCGTAGTAAGTTATGTTTAGAACTCCACACACCTGGAAAGGAAAGAGAGCAGGACAAGATTGAGTTCTTTAGGTCTGGGAACACAGTTGATGGATGAAGGACTCGAGAACAGACAAGTTCCAATCTAAGGGCAGAGAAGGCTGAGTTCTAGGGCCACCTTTCCCTAAGCACCTTTCCCTTCATGAGTTCCTTGTGGTCCATTAAAAAAAAAAAAATTGAAGGCCAGGCACGGTGGCTCATGCTTATAATCTCAGCACTTTGAGAGGCCCAGGAGGGTGGATCATGAGGTCAGGAGATTGAGACCATCCTGGCTAGCATGGTGAAACCCCATCTCTACTAAAAATACAAAATAAATAAATAAATAAATAAATAAATTAGCCGGGCGTGGTGGCACGTGCCTGTAGTCCCAGCTACCCAGGCGGCTGAGGCAGGAGAACGCCTGTAGGTCCAGCTACCCAGGAGGCTGAGGCAGCAGAACGCCTGTAGGTCCAGCTACCCAGGAGGCTGAGGCAGGGGAATGCCTGTAGTCTCAGCTACCCAGGAGGCTGAGGCAGGAGCTGGAGGCTCCCAGTTACCCTGGAGGCAGAGGTTGCAGTGAGCCAAGATCACGCCACTGCACTCCAGCCTGGGCGACAGAGTGAGACTCCATCTAAAAAAAAAAAAAAGCATTATGACTGTTTTGGAATAAAGATAAATATAATGCAAAATCTACTCTATATTTTTCTTCTAATATCAAAAATTTAAAACTTATTGTGGCCCTCTGAAAATATGGATTTTAAGCACTATGCCTACCATACCTAAAGGGTAAGTTGGCCTGTTAGATTCTCCTAAAAGTAATGGTACATTTTATTCAAAGAACATGTAGCCTGCCAGCCACTGAAGCTCTACTTTCTTCTAGAGCAGGGTTTCTCAGCCTCAGCACTGTTGACATATGTGCTGGACAATTATTTGCTGTACAGGCTTGTCCTGTCCATTGTAGGATGTTTAAGAGTATTTCTGGACTCTATTCACTAGATGCCGGTAGCATATCTGCCTTGATTGTCACAACCAAAACGTCTCTAGACATTGCCAAGCATCCCCTGGGAAGCAAAATAATCCTCATCTGAGAACCATTATTCTAGAATGTTTTTTCTAGATTATGTTCTACTTTATGCTGAGCTTTCATGAACTTCTGGGGCAAGGACTCAATAATACACTCGGTAAAAACTGAAGTCATTACATAGACCTATAGGCTCTCTCTCATCTTGCTCTGGCTTCATTTTCTATATTCTTCCTGTCACCTATGTAGCTCCAGCCTCAATGACCTCTTTGCTGTACCTTGGACCTGCCAGGCACATTACTACTACTTAGGGTCTTCGAAATGGATCTTCCTGCTTCATGGAACATGCTTCCCTCAGATAATCCACTAGGATAACTTACTTACATTTTTCAATCTTGCTTTTAATATTACCTTTATAATGAGACCTAGACACCCCTTTTAAGATTACAGTCCTGTCCCTTGACATTCCTCTTTTCCATTCTCTGTCTCTTATTTTCTCCATAGATTTTTACATGGATTTTTACCTATGAAAATGTTCCATAGTTTATCACCTTCTAACATGCCATATGATTAATATTATGTAATTATTTACGTAATAAATTCTTTATTTGTATCTATCATTTATTGTCTTTCTCCTTCTGCTAGAATATAAACTCTACAAGGACAGGGATCTTTGTTTTGTTTATTTTCTTCATGGATGTATCCACAACTATGACATAGTGTCCAGGTGTTCAATACATGTGCACTGGATTGAATTGAATTGAATTGAGGGAGCTTCCTCTGTCCAGGAACTTATTTCTTCTTCTGATCCCAAACTTGCACCTCTGTGTCTCCCTTGTCATGAGATCATTACTTGAGACATGGTCCGTGGACAAGTAGAGTTTTGTGTCACAATAGAATTTTGTGTCTGTTCCTGACACCCTTTCACCCTTTGTGAACATATTTCTGTTTGTTTGTACTCCTCTGTTTCCCTTTTGTCCCTGGGCTGCCTGGAACAGCAGAGGGGAAACTTGGGTGCCCTGGGTTTTGAAACAGCTGATTCTTCACTTTCTATAGCTGTTCTATCTGTGAAAAGAAAGGATTCAAAAGAGAATTGGAAAAACCACGACCTTGTCATCTTTATGGACACAAAGAATGACCGAGAGAACAGAGGAGCCCTTTTCAATCTTCTTGTAGGGAATTATTTAGCACTGGAGCTGCTAAATACAAAGGCCAAGCTACGGGGTTATTATGTCCTGCTCTCAAAGCCAGCTGGGGAGAGGCAGCCAAGGAGTCTTTGCAACCAGGGCTGGCATGTGGGGACACCAGGAGCCTATGTCTTGCCGGAGAGACAGCTCTCGCTGACCCAGTTTTAGCACAACATCGCCTGACACAGTACTGCAATCCGCAACTTTAATAACTTGGTGACACACAAAGCAGTTTTGATGCAAAGTGGAGCTGACAGAGCAGCGGAGGGAAGGCTCTGCTTCTCACTGAGCTGCGTGGGGAATCCACTCAAGGTGACTGCAACCTTCGCAGCCTAGCGACAGTTTGAGTCTGCTCTTGCAAACAAGGAAGGCTGACTTGTTTTCCAGGAGGGCAGACACAGGGGCGGCAGACAGTGAGTGGAAGCTGCTTGGAAGGACTGGTTGATACAGCCTCTCCCTTACACTTTTGCACTATGTCCCTAATATCCCTGCTCTTCATCATCCCTTCTACCCCTGCCTTAATTCAGGCCTCTTTCACCTGGACTACTGTAGTAGCTGCATAATATTTTCCAGGCTTGTTTCCTCCACCTCATCTTGCTTATAGCCAATAGAGTAAACTCCCAAATGCATATCAATAATCATGTCACTTTCCACATCAAATCCTCCCATGGTCCCCAATTCCTGCAGAAAAAAAAAAATAATGCAAAACACTGTTTTCTGTGCTCAGTCTGTAAGCTACAGTTTTAGCTTCTCCCACTCAGTTCTGCATATTCCTCATCTCTTCTGGTCACTGCCACCTCTATAACCTCAAACTCCAGTTTTCTCTCTGCAAATTATTAAACATACATCATATTTTTCATTCCCTGATGTCCTGATATATTTACTCATGCAATGCCCACTTGAATGCTCCTATGCTGGGGGACTCTCTATCTTACGTGACAACCTTTTCTTATGTTGAACAGCTTGAAAACTCTGCTTGTGTTTTCTTATGAAACACAAACTCTGCTCCATAACTTTTATTTTCCCCTGCACCTGCTCCCTGGAGTCCTGCAGAAAATGTTCTGTCCCAGGACTCTCTTGTGAGAAGTGAATTTAGAAAAACATATCTTTTGAGCTTCTTATCTGTGCCAGAAGTTCCGGAGTCCTTTAACCATTTTTTAAATGGTAAGTTTTCCCTTATCCCAGCCCTTCCATTTCCCCTTTCTGCACCTACCTCATGTATTCAAGATTTTCCTTCGAAGCAACAAGGGAAAGTTGAATATTGTGCATTTGAAGGTAATCATAACAATTAGCAACATTAATAACAACATTAGCAACTGTTTCTTGCATGTGGAAAGGGATGTCTTGACCTAGATTGTGAGATTCGAGTGATTTGTATTAGAATATTACATCTATGGCAATAGGGGTACACAGAGTAAAACAGCCTTTGTCTGCCAGTGTTCCATAGTCTGGAGAGGGGTGGTCATTCTGTAAGCAGCAATTACAACTTAGTGTAATTAATCATGATGGGCCTATTTGAGCGTAAAAGAAGCATCCGTAACCGAGCACGAGGAAACTGGAAGGAGGCAAGCAATTGAGAAAAGCACTGCAGAGAAATCATTGTTGACACGGAGACTTGGGGGATAATAAGAATCACTCAGGGGAAGGGAGTGGGCAAGGACGTTCCAGGTGGCATTAACAAGAGCAAAGACACAGAGATAAGCCAGCACAGAGTAGTCAGTGACCTCAAAGGTTTTTCCGGTTCCTTTCCAGGGCAGTGTATATTAAGAGGTCGATCCTGTGTCCAAACTGCTGTTCAAATGGAGTTCCAGAAGGGAGAGATTACTGGGGCTTGAAATTGTCAGGACAATTTCCCTGGAGGTGGACAGTCTGGAGGTGGGCCTGGAAGGAAGAACACATTATGGATAGCAGAGAGGAGGGGAGATGGATATCTATATGCAAATATGTCCGCACACATACATCTGCTTCATATGCATTTAAACCTTAAATTGACTTTCACTTGCCTTCCACTTTGGTTTCCATGGTAACCCTGGCCACTTATTTTTCTTTTAACCTCCTTTTCATTGTTTCAGAATGAGGTGGGCTGCGTGAGGGTTAACCAGTCGGGGGAAGAGAAGAGAATTTAAAGCAATTATTTGGATTTTTTTTTTTTAAGAAAACTGCCAACTTTGCAATTTAATGCAAACTGTTTCTGGTATATTTGCCCTGAAGGATGCTGTAGGGAGAAACAGGAGCCAGGATCCTTTTCGTCCCCTCCTCCCTGACTTCTATTATTACCGTGCACTTACTGCTAATACAGCATCTAAACTTGCAATCTCGGTAACTATGGCAATAAAATAGGTGAGATTCCCTTCCAGTATGACTTGAATTGTTAGGTCTTTGCAAAGAGCACGTGCGTTTGCAAAGGGGAGGAGGAAGATGCACTCTGGGGGAAAATAGTTATTTCAAGTCCCTGTAGGGAGTTGCCCATCAGTCCACATTCACATGGAGAATTATCACTGTCCCTGTGTCAGAGGATGCAGAAATAGGGCTGCAGCCTGGTGGTTGCAACGCACATTCAGAGCTAGCAAAACATGCCTGTGACAGCCTCTAGAGTGTGAAGGTCAAGGTTGCACTCAGCCTAAAAGAGATGGCAGGGAGGAGACAAGAGAAGAGGATCTAATCCAGGGGTCAGCAAACTTTCTCTGTAAAGGGCCGAAGAGTAAATATTTTAGGCTTTGAGGACCACACAGTCTCTGTTGAAACTATTCAACTCTGCTGTTGCAGCAAAAAAGCAGCTACAGACAAAATGTAAATGACTGGGCAGCCGGTGTTCCAATAAATTTTATTTATGGACACTGATGACTGAATGTGGAATAGTTTTTGCCTGTCATGAAATTGTGTTCTTCTTTTGATTTTTTCTCTCAACCCTTAAAAAATGTAAAAGACCTTGTCATTCATGCGCTGCACAGAAACAGGTGGTGAGCTGGATTTGGCCTGTAGGCCATAGTTTTCAATTCCTCATTTAATCTGTGCAACCAACTGTGCATGATACACTAGTCGATTTTCTTATTATTATTACCTTTGTTAGTTTATCGTTATTACTACATTATTGCTACATTAGTAGCATTAAATACTGCTACCGTTACTGACAGTGATTTTTATCATTTATTGTGTGTCGAGTACTATATTAAGCACTAAATATATAACCTTATTTAATCATCACCAAAAGCTATTTGATAAATAAGAAAAACAAGGCTCACAGATTGAGTTGTTCAAGGTCATATAGCTAGTAAGAATGTCTGACATTTAAATCCAGGATCTTTCCAATTGTTACAGACAAAGTATGACTTTTCTTCTCATCAACTATCCAGGCTTCTGACCTGGGAGAGTCTCTATGTCCACCAGATTCTCAAGCCCTATTCTCAGAGGGCTGGGCCATCAAATCTAATGGTGCACGTGTGGGATACGTCCCAGGACTTTCAAAAACTTCCCTATTGCAATGATTGCAATGACTCAATGTCCACAAGAATTCTCTTGGAACTGACTGATGCCAGCCTAGCTCCCAGGCCTCCCGATAAACCCTGTTGGTCCTAGCCTCTGACTTGCCCTTTGCCTTGGACTACATAGGGCCACATTCTCACTCACTGTCTCCTGACTATAGCTGTTCCCTTAGCATTCTAGCCTGCATCTACTACCTCTCCGGCTTGCCTTGCCGTTGTCTCCTCCTTGCCTTTGCTGATCTGCCTTGATGCTGACGGTTTAGCCCCATCATCCATAGACATTTTTCACCGTCCAGGGATTCTCAAGCTCCCACTCCCCATCTCCCACCTGCTCGAGTCTCTTTAAGGAGAAGTTCTGGGAACTGGAGAGCTCAGTGGGGAGAGACAAATACTCCAACGCTCTAGGGAGATAATCACTGTCTTCTAATCTCCAAGGAATCAGGAAATTTTAATTATTCAGTAGAGTCATGGAGGGTAAAACTAGGAACCATAAGTAGAATTTATGAAGTGGCCAATTTCTCTCATACATGTCTTATTCTAGATCACTAAATATACCTTCTGCCATGGGCAACTGTGACACCATAGAGAGAAGATTGCCTGGGGATTTAGGGTTCTGGATTCAGGGTTTAGTCTCTTCCATTTTAATAGTTGGGCCCACTCTCCCATTGCTCTTTCAGCTTGAGCAAAGTGACTCTATGACTGTGAAATGTGAAGTTTGGCTGCAGCTGGCCTTGATTTTCTTGGCAGGTTGTGCGACCTTGGAAAAATCAGATTTCCTTCTCTGGGCCCTGCTTTTCCCATCTGTGTGGAGAAATCCTCTCCAGCTCCAGAGACTGCCGACTATAGCCCTTTCTGCTCATCTCCTGAGGAACAGGCACATCTGGTTCTTTGGATCCATTACCGTGCAAACTTTTAAGAGATTTTCTCTCCCTCTCAGTCCCTTGGAATTACTACAGCTCTTTCACTGGAAAGAGCATTAGCCAGGCCCTGTGCTAAGCAAATGCATTCAGCTTCTCCCTATCTGATTTCTCTTCTTCTCATTTGTCAGCAAAGGAGAAACCTCCCAGCTATTAATCAAACTCCTGGCTGTGGATAGCTTTAATTGCAGAAGCCATTGCTGGATGAGGAATGCACTTTTCCAAAGAAAGCCGGCTGCTTCGCACAGAAGAGAAACAATTAATTACCTGCTTCTCTGGTCCCCAACAGGGATGCAGATGAACTAACGATATTGCTGCTGGCACTGACTTCTCCCTTCCCAAGGTGGAAGAGAGCTAATACAAACTCAGACAGCATTCATAAAGCTAGAACGCTCAAGCAGAAGTTTAGCTATAAAGCTCTCATGGGACCAAAAGTCAGCCTCTGTATGGCATCTTTACTTTAAGGTGGAGACTGACAAGCTCTATACTTTATCCAGGGGAGTGTCTGGGATGTGGCTAAAAGCCATATTCTCTGAGGAAGAATCTAGTGTAACAGAGATGTTGAATACAGTCAGGGAATGGGTGCAATTTTTTTTTTTTTTTTAGAAAAGAGCCAGAATTAAAGAGATCAGATTTATTTTGTGTATCCTAATGGGCAGAATTAGAATTGTGGGCGGAATTTACAGTTTAATATAAAAAGACATATCTGGGACTTGCAATTGTATGCCTATGGAAAGGGATGCTTTTTCAAATGTAGTTAGTCTCTTGTCTCTAGAGATATTTAATAACCATTGAGGATGTTGTTAGAAAAATCTTTGTATTAGATGGGAGGTTTATTAAAATTGTCTTGGATAGGTAACTTCCCATCCTTAGGGTCCTTGTCTTACTACTATCTTTGGCTTACTTCAAAGCTTTCAATCTGGTAGATGATATAGGAGGAGTGGGTGGGAGGAAGGCAAACTGGCCTCAAGATTAAAGTCTGTTTGAAGTAAAGGCCATGTATTGGAAAGCTATGAGAGCTAAAATTCGAATACTTTTTTTTTAAGTCGTTAATTGCCACAGAGATATGATAGTTATGACATTCTCTTTGGAACTTGGTGCTAGAATCTATGTTGTTTTTCTCTATATCCACGGTAAGCTAACAGATAGATACCTGGCATAGGGAAAATGTTAACTCAGGTTTGAAAACCTTTGGATCAAGTAAAATTTAAACTTGTAGTTCTGGTATGAGTCCTGGGAAGCAACGTTTTACAGTTATAAAGAGAATGAACCTGAATTAGACTTCCCTGAGCCTAGAGCTTAACTCCTTATTTACTAGGTGAATAAATTTGGGCAGATGGCAGGAACTCAATGCCTCAGTTTCCTCATCTATAAAATGAAGCTACTTTCCTATACCCCATGGAAATGTCATGAAGACTTAATGAGGTTATAACTGCAAAGTATTTGCAACAGGAATTACAGCAGGTTATTTTTTCTGTACTTAAAATGTGCCAATAACTGTTCTGTGCATTTCACACATATTATTTATTTTAATTCTCATATGATATGAAAGAACTGAGAGGTTAACTGATGTACCTAAGGTAGCCTAGTACCCTGATGTACCTAGGACCCTGAGCCAATGCTGTTGATCACTGGTCACCTAAGGTTTGATCAGCATTGGCCATCATTTGTGTTTTACTGTCACTTCATCCTTTCCCTCAATAAATGCTAGCTTGTACTCTTTGCTCTCCTTCCTACCTCGGCTATAGGTATGACTGCATGTACTACCTCTCTACTGAGTTCCCAGAGCTCGGAGATCAACCTTGTTTGATTTCATAGTACTTTCTCTGTCAAGCGTTCTATGGCCTTTGCATTTAACAGATGCTGTTCATATGCTGGCTGATAAATGAAATGATTCTCCCTTATTTAATGGAGCCATGCTGTATGGACAGTGGACTGTGGATCTGTGCTAGGCTCCAATTTCTTTAGAGCACTGGATTAAAACCTTTCCTTGGTCAACTTTTTTCTTTTTCTTTATCTCATTTGTTGATCTATTGTTTATTTACAGGCAGAATGGCATGTTGAAAAACACCAGGGCTGTACTCGAATCATCCAGTCCTCAGGCATACAGAGGGTGTTAGCTTGGGTAAGTCACCTAACCTCTCTGGACTTTGGTTTTCTCATCTGTGATGTAAGCAAATGAAAACCAGTTTTTGAAGACTCATCAATGACATCGAGAAAGCTAATTATCTGGGGAATCTTTGGGGATGAATACTTTTCACATTTACTTGTCAATCTGCAAAACGCCCAAGGAGGAAATATGTGGTTTATTCTAACAAACCACTACAGTTCTTGTCAGTGACTGCCTCTCTTAATTCCCCTGGTTTGGGTTTGTTTATTTCAGTTCCTGGTAAGCCCGAGACTTCCATCTTTCACTGAATTATCTTTCATTGAAGTCAGAATGTAGTGAATCAGGTATGGGTGGAGAAGCGCTTAATGTCTTTATCGTTATCTTCGGTTACTTGAGCTATTTTAAAAATTATCTTTATTTTTTTTTCTTTGCTTGAAGCATTTTTCAGTCTTCTTTTTTTTTTTTTTTTTTTTTTCTCTTTTCTTTTCTTTGCTGCCCTTTCTTCTCTGGCGTCTATCAGGCTGTCTCAACAGCTTCACATGGAAAACTTTGAAGTAAGTGAGCTTAAAAGAAGAACTGAAAACTCAGCCCGATGCCCCGAAGTCCCGTGGGCAGCCTAGCCACAGTAACTTGGTGGAACTCATTAGCGCAGGCCGTTCTGATCAGCGCCACAGAGGACGGAGAGGCAGGGGTTCCCGCCTTTGAGCCTCTGGAGCGCCTGCGCCTTCGCAGGGCTGCGCAGGGCTCTGGGAGCTGCGGCCACTGCTCACGCGCTCTCTCGCTCGCTCGCAGGGTGTGGGCAGCCCGGCGGGGACCCGGCTCTGCGCGCAGCCCATTGTGCAGCTGGCGCGGCCGCGCAAATGACATCTGAGCCTCCTTTCAAGTCGCCGGCTGCTTTCAAAAGGGGGCTTTGAAAGGGTGGGCTCCCCTGACTCCGCACTGGAGAACGGAACTCGGCTTTTTCAGGGAGGATGGCCTGGCACACGTGCCTGCCTCTGTGGCTCGCGCCTGCGTTTATGCGAGAATGAAAGGCAGACTTTGTCTGGTGGGTGTTCGTGCACACGGTTTCCATCCCTTTATTTACAGAAGAAATGTTCCGACTCCTGGAGTTCTCACTGGCCATTGGGAGATGAATGGGCTATTTGAAGTGAGAGCATTGAAGGTGTTTTGTTGGAATATATATATATAGATAGATAGATATAAATATGTGTGTGTGTGTGTGTGTGTGTGTGTGTGTGTATATATATAATTTCCCCCCTCGCTTTCAAAACTCTGTGATAATCATTTTACTTAGGGAACCGATTGGGGTGAGGAAGAACATAAGAATACATGTAGAATTAAACAGGATGGTTCCAACCCCGTTGGAGGTTTGGAAATCCCATTTCTATTAGAAAAGGGAGAGAGTCGCAGCCACTAAACCTTTCTTTTTCTCCTTTGGTCCCGGGGATTTTTGGTCCCTACAGGAAAGGAGGTAGGAAGATTCAATGGTGAGAATGCAGACTCTGTAGCCACACAGCTGGGGTCTGGATTTTCTGCAGTCACTTAACGTTGTAAAGGTGTCCAGCACATAGCAACCCTCCTGCCCTTTCCCTCAAGGATGCAGCGCCAGAGGGTGGACCTTAGCCTTTGTATTTTGTGCTTCCTCTGACTCCTGTTTTTGTTTTTTAGATCACATCATTGATTTATGATTGACATATTAGAAGCTGTACATATATAATGTATATCACTGGTCCCCAACCTTTGTGGCACCAGGGACTGGTTTTGGGGAAGACAATTTTTCCATGGACTGGGGGGAGGGAAGGGGATGGTTCTGGGGATGATTCAAGCACATTGCATTCATTGTGCACTTTGTTTCTATTATTATGACATTGTAATATATAATGAAATAATTATACAACTCACCCTAATGTAGAATCAATGGGAGCCTGAGCTTGTTTTCCTGCAACTAGACGGTCCCATCTGGAGGTGGTAGGAGATGGTGACAGATCATCAGGCATTAGATTCTCATAAGGAGTGCACAACCTAGATCCCTCCATGTGCAGTTTACAATAGGGTTCATGCTATTATGAGAATCTAATGCCGCAGCTGATCTGACAGGAGGCAGAGCTCAGGTGGTAATGAGAGCAATGGAGAGTGACTGTAAATATAGATGGAGTTTCACTTGCTCGCTGGCCATTCACCTCCTGCTGTATGGCCTGGTTCCCAGCAGGCCACAGACCAGTACCAGTCTGTGGTGGGGGTTGGGGAACCCCTGATGTGTGTGACTCAATGACTTTGGGGATAAGTACATAGGTGTGAAACCACCACCACCATCAATGGCATACAGATATCCATCACCTCCCAAAATTTTCTCCCACCCTTTTATTATTATTTGTGGTATGAAAAGTTAGCATAATATCCACTCTCTTAGTAAAGTTTAAATATATAATACAATGTTGTTAGTTAGAGGATCTTATAATTTTCAGCAACATGGAGGGACCTGGAGGGCATTATGCTAAATGAAACAAGCTTCTGAATCCTGTTTGAGTCACCCCTTCCTTGCACAAAGGCTGAATTTCTAACAGTTCACAGATCTCCAGTGCTTTCCTTCACACTGGCTGTCATTTGTGGAGCTCGTCTTTGTTATACCCATCTTCATATTCTTACAGTAATATTCTTACATACTTTGATAAACCCAACTTTTTGAAAGTCACCCCTGTCATATTGAGCAGCTTCTGTTTTAGGAGCATGGTTCCGCCCATAGGACATCCATAGCCATTCAGCACTGTACTGGGTTAGAGAGAAAATGCTCCACGATGACTTATTTGGAAGGATGATTAGTTATTCAAGGCTTCATAGGAGGATTATCAATGAGTCAGTATGATCCTGGAAAAGCATATTGACATAAACTTTCCCAGACAGGGAGTATAGATTTAATGCGACAGTCCTTGAGAGAGGTCTTAATATTCCTTTCTTACAAGAAAGTAGGATTTAAGGATCTCTATGAATTCTCAAGGCAGCACAGAAAGTAGTGAAGCCAGAATACAAGACATAGGTTTCTGACTTTAAGAGGATGCTGTTTCCATAATACCACGCATGGTGAGTTTTCATCCTCTGCATATCCACTCCTTTTCCTCTCCGTTCCTGTCTAGAACTCTGTATCTTGATTCTTTACCTCAAACTTTTATGCCTGGAATCCTTATCGGGCTGTGACAGGCATTCTTGGGCAGACAGCCCACTGGGCACCCTGAGATGAATAGTACAGTTCCCATTCTCACAAACAGGCCGTGTTGTGTACCAAAACCCTATTCCCTTTAGCAGGAGGAAACTTAATTATAGTCGCTCATGGGCCCTGTGTTCCAAAAAGACCCAGTGCATGTCTTTGTGTCTGGCCCAGCCCAGCAGAGAAAGGCTAAATTGTGTTTGAAAGCCTTACAAGGGGAAATTTAATTGAGGCATAAAATGTATACCTTTGATCTTCCCAGGACCTGTGGTTCTCCCATTACCTGCATCCTGTTCCTGATAACACAAGTTGGAATAAAGCCTGCAGTGAGACCTGTGCCAAAGGCACCAAGCAGGATGTTACACTGCTACCCTCCCCTCCTTTTCACCAGGTCTAATGCTCTGCCTGTGTATATTTATCAGTGGGATACATTTGAAGCGGCCTCAAACTTGATCTCTGCATTCATTTTCCTGTCCTATAAAACAAGCCTGTGTCCTTAGCTTTCAAATACCTCTGTGAGATTTTCTACTCTTCCCTTCTAAAACTGCACACACTGTCCCAACATGCACCCCCAGTATAATTCTCTAATACCTATCCCAGACCCCAGCCTCAACTGCTTGACTCACTGATTTAACAGCTGGAGTTCAGTGTTTTAAAATATGTCTCTTTCACTCATTCACTCATTCATTCACTTACTTTGTCCTTCACTCATTTACCTATGCATTTCTTCAGTCATTCACTCATCAATTTGTCCAATTTTTAGTCTTCAGGTGATTAGACCAAGGAGATTACAATTACTCTGGAAATATAAGGCTGGAGAGGGCTGAAACAGTGGTCTTTCTGCAAACCCTGAGAAGTGTTCATCCAGGGCTGGTGTGAAGTTCCAACGTAGTATAGTCTCCAAGTGAGCTTAGCACAGTATAATAAAGTTAGGTTTGGGAGTGAAAGAAAGACCTGTGTTTGAATCTCAGCATTGTTACTTAGCAACATATGACCCTGGGCAATATATATGACTGCTGTGAGCCTTGCTGTTTTCATTTATAAGAGGGAGGTGCTAATGTCTATCTTGCAGAATAATCTTGGGAAAAGGGGTAATGTGTATAAGTACTTAGCACGGGGCCTGGTACACCATTGCTATGGTTGGCATTGTCATTAGTATGACTGCTACAGCTGTTCATTCGTGAAGGGAAAAGTTGGTGGAGACCCATCTGGATAGCAGATGAGGTCCTCCATCCTCTGGGAAATCACAGATACTCTGTTGCTCTTATGAGCTAAAACCTGGAAAATGGGCTTTTCTTGAGGTAGCCTTAAGCAGGAACTGAAACTGCTGGTGCTTTCAATTTCTCCTTCATCAGCCCCTGTAGGGGAGCTGGAAGGTCATGTCTACAGGACAGTGGGGGTGATATCTGGAAAGCGAGAAAAACAGGTGAGAGTGTGCATGATGGCAGCAACATATGACCATGTCAGTATTGTCCCACTTCCTGCCCTCCATCGTGGGATGCAGTCCCTACTTAAACAGTTTTATTCATTGATCATTCACTCATCTATCTGTTTGTATCATATTTATGTTTGACCTTCTAAGCTCTGGGCAAGCTACAGGGGGTCTGGACAGGTTTGCCCTAAGTTATCCCCTTTCTGTCACTGTATTTCTTAGTTTTAAATATCATTATTATATTAGTCTGTTTTCACGCAGTTGATAAAAACATACCCAAGACTGGATAATTTACCAAAAGAAGAGGTTTAATTGGATATACAGTTCCATGTGGCTGGGAAAGCCTCACAGTCATGGTGGAAGGCAAGGAAAAGCAAGTCA